GGACCGCGTGGTGCTGCGTTGAGTGTTGTGTGGGTCCTGTTTGGCGGGCGGTGTACCCGTTAGGTCAGTTGGGCTCTATGTGGTGGTGATGGTATGTGTGCGGAGGGTGTCTCACGTGGTGTGACTGGGGTCCTGCGTGGTGTCCCTGTGTGTGGGTGCTGTGTTGGGGTCCTCTGTGCTTGTGTGTGTGCAGGTGCTATGTTAGAGGTCTGTATGGTGGCAAGGGCTGTGCCTATTTGCAGCAGCATCCTGTGTGTGTGTACGGTTCAATGTGGCAGCCCATGTTTGTGGGAATTGATGGATGTGGCAGTGCGGTGTATGCATGGGGAGCAAAGCTTGGGATGCTGTAACACCACTCTGTCCTCACTGTGCCCCTTTTTTTTCTCCCCAGGAGCCGTGTGAAGCATCATGGCACAAACACTTGCCTCCCCAGGGCTGTTCTCTGATGATGAGGCTGTAGCCTCCCCCGTGCTGGAATCCACTGCAAAAGGGTTTGGGGCTGATGTGTGCAAGGACCTGCTGTCAGAGTTCTCTGCCATCTCCCCAGACCTGGAGGACTCCCAGCAGGTGAGGTTGGAGCTCTTGTGGCACAGACAGGGCAGTGTTTTCACTCAGGGCTGGAACAAAATGTGGGGAGCGGTTCCTGTTATGAGCAGTGGATTGTGAAGGGCACAGTCAGCAACACTTAACACAAAGCCTTACAGTGGTGCTTGGTCTGGGAGCTGTTTTGGTGTTAGGTCTTTGGGTTCTTGGTCTTATTCATTAGATAAGCAAATGATAAAAGTACTGATGTGCTTGGAAATGCCTAAGAGCTTCTGGTGTTGCTGGTGGTTTTGGGACCAGAGAAGTTCCTGAGCACTAGTTGGGGTAGCCAATATGTGTTGCATGCTGTAGTTGCTGTTAAGTGTTCTGATGAATGGTTGTGTGCTGCCTCTCTGCTGTGTTTAACCTGAGGTGATTTTTGCAGGCTGTAGCTGAAGACAATAATGGAAAGCTAAAGGTCTATCTGAGAGTTCGACCTCTGAAATCTACAGAACTGGAAAAAGGGGAAGACCAGGTGAGACACTGACTGAAGCAGCATCTGAGCTGGCTGTGTGCCTGCTGGACATGCTCTTGTCTTTTGCTGTTTATGCTGTGGCCTCTTCTAAGCCACTGCAATGAAGGGATTTATGTGTTCCTTAGGGCTGTGTCTGCATTGAGAACTCAGAGACTCTTCTTCTGAAAGCTCCCAAGAACTCCTTCACCATGAAGAGCACAGAACGTGGAGTGGGACAGGCAGCACACAGGTTCTCTTTCACCAAGGTAGGTAACGGGGACAAACAATCCACCTTACAGGTAGAAAATCTGATTTACTCATACACACTGATCCCAAGGCACTGCCTGAGCTCTGCAGTCTCATACAATTCTCCCTACTTTGCTTTTTCTATTGCTGTTTCCTTAATTTTTCTCTTTTTGAGCTGTTTTTGACAATTCTTTTGGCAGCCAATGCCAAACACGTGTTTTGCTCATGTGGCTCTAAACAGAGTAGAGGCTGCAACGATACCAGATTATACTGGATTAAGGACATGAACGGGTTTTTATAGGGGCTCAGGCTGGAATTGCTGGTGGGTCTGTTGCTCATGATGGGCACAAGGACTATGTAATATCACTTGAACTATCATCAGCAGTCAAAGGATAGGAAAGATTTACATGAGGCCATTTTTCCTGTGTCTTGTTTGCAGATCTTTGGACCAGAAGTGGGGCAGAAACTGTTCTTTGATGAGACAATGAAACAGGTGGTAAAGGATGTGCTGAATGGACAGAATTGTCTGGTTTATACCTATGGCATCACCAATTCAGGCAAGACCCACACTATTCAAGGTAAGGAAAGCACTGGGTGTTAAGACCCTGGAGAGAGGTTGTCTGCAGCTTCATGTGAATCCTCAGCTTTGCTGCTGTTCTTGCTTCAGGCACCAACCAGGATGGGGGGATTCTGCCTCGCTCCTTAGCAACCATCTTCAACAGTGTGGGGAACAGGCTGTACCAGGCCATGGACCTGAAGCCTTCCCTCTCCAACGAGGTGGTGTGGCTGGACAGCAGGCAGGTGCGGCAAGAGGAGACTAAAAAGCAGGTGATACTGCAGGGAAGTCTCTGGGAGGTAAGCACATGGCTTCTGAGGAGTTCAATAACCACAGGTAAGGGATGGTGTCATGTTACTTCCACGTGTTCTTGGTTTCCTTCAAGGAGGAGCTCTTAACACCACGGAAGAATCACAGTGCTGAATCTCAGCACCAGGCCACCAGCAGGGTCAGTTTTGACAGTGGAGTTGCTGGTCTGTCTTCATCTAGTCAACTCACCAACCGCTCAGATCTCAGCCAGACAGAAGGTATGTCTGGAGGCCTTTGTGTACTGCCTTCTTGTTGCTGTAGGATGGGGGAAGAAAGGCTGATGGTTGCTTGAATTCTGTGTTGTGGGTGAGGGAGCAAAGGTGCTGTAGTCTGACAGACCTTCCCTTTGCAAGTTAAGGATGTCGGAGCAGAAGAACTTTGTGTGTATGTCTTGCCAATACCAGAAGAATTCAGTGCTGCATAATGTCTAAGCCTCGTGGAATGAAATGTTATTTGACACCCACTCACTTCATTCAAGGAATGTGGTTATGGAGCAGTTGATTTGTGGGAAAGAGGCTGCTAAAGTGATATGTTGCACTGAGCACTTGTGCCCAGACTTTGAAACCCAGGAGCTACCAGCTGGTTAGGTATCCAGAAGCATTAAGTGATTGAGATAACAAGGACTAAAGCTTCACTTATGCTGGAAAGAGCTTGTGTTTGAGATCCTGTAAACAAGTATATAAGAAGTTCTTACACAGAACAGGATACTGTTAAAGGAAACTTGATGCTGTCTCACTGGGGACAGGCATTAGTAGTGATTTCTGGTGAAGGAAGGTATCTCACTTTCCAGCTAAACCATTCCAGTTGCACCTATGAAAAGCTGAAGTTGTCTTTTTTTTTTTTCTCCTTTTTTTTTTTTCCCCCCAGACCTGGGCCCTCGCTGGGCTGACTCGGATCGCATTTCCCTCACCAGCACAGGGGATGTGCAGTTCTCCATCTGGGTCTCCTTCTTTGAGATTTACAATGAGTTAATCTATGACTTGTTGGAACTAACTCCACCTGGGCAGAACCGCAAGCGGCAAACCCTGCGGCTCTGCGAGGACCAGACTGGCAACCCCTATGTGAGAGGTAGGTTGAACTGGGAGAGGCGTTCAGTGACCTGCTAGGAAGACTGGGGGGATGGATGTTTGGGTGTGTGGCTTAGCAGGGATGTGCTGGGGAGCCCCTCACAGGTCCCTGGATTATGGCAATATCAAGTTTGTTAATGTCAAAGGAACGCAATAGTGAAGCTAGGGCTGAGATGATAAGTGTTCTGCCAGTCTCTAACTGCCTTGCCCAAACCATGCTTGCTTTTCCAGACCTGAACTGGATCAATGTGCAGGATGCTGATGAGGCCTGGAAGCTTCTGAAACTGGGTCGGAAAAACCAGAGTTTTGCTTGTACCCACATGAACCAGAACTCCAGTCGCAGGTCTGGAGAGGGAGGAGGATTGTTTAGGTGGAAATCCAATTCTGAGGGGTTTTGAAAGGTTGCATTTCCTTGGTTTTAAATCTCTGCATATTTCTTTACAGTCACAGTGTGTTCTCTATTCGGATTCTGCACTTGCAAAGAGGTGGCAGTGAGGTTGTTCCAAAAATCAGCGAGTAAGTTTCATGGTCTCTAGGGTTTGGGGGTGTTCTCTGTGGACTCACTTTCCTGTCTTCTGTTGAGGGGTATGGGAAAGATCTTTGACTGTCTTGTTGAAAGTGCTTAGAAAGACTAAATGTTCCCAATGGTAAATCTTGGAACTGACAGGAGTTTGTAAGGAATAGTGCAAAGTACAACTTGGAGTAGTTCTCAGGCTTTTTGAATGAAGGTAAATGTGAGTAACATTACTCTTGCAGCAGGGCTGATTTGAGTGCTGTGGGGGCCTACAGGGAAGCTGGAGAAGGGACTGTAGTGATAGGACAAGGAGCAATTGGGAAATTTAGGTCTTTGGAGGAAGTTTTCCCTGTGAGGGTGGTGAGACACTGGCACAGGTTGCCCAGGGAGGCTGTGGCTGCCCCAACCCTGGCAGTGTTCAAAGCTAGGTTGGAGAAAACCTTGAGCAACCTGCTTTGGAGGGAGGGAGGTGTCCCTGCCCAGGGCAGGGGGTTGGGACTGACTGATCTCTAAAGTCCATTCCAACCACTTAACATACTGTCATACTACAACAGATGCCTGTTCCTGGGATTAGCTACCTGGAAATGTTACCTGGAAGTGGCTGCTCTGAGGATTGGCAAAGGATCTTTGAACTTGACACTGCAAAAGACATTTTGGTGTTACCTTGTGTAACACCTACACTTAGGGCAGGCCCTTCTGTCCAGCAACAGCCCAGGCACCCCAAGGGAGAAGCTGAGAAGGTGATTGCAGTCTGAATTGTAAACCTGGATAGAACAGGACAAACCTAACATGTGGATATCTTTGTGTTCCCTTCAGGTTATCCCTGTGTGACCTGGCAGGGTCGGAGCGCTGCAAGGACCAGAAAAGCGGGGACCGAATGAAGGAAGCCAACATCATCAACACCTCCCTGCACACCCTGGGCCGCTGCATCGCTGCCCTCCGCCAGAACCAGCAGTCCAGGTGGGCAGCCAGGTCTGCAGAGGGAAGGGAGAGTGTGGGGGAGGCTGTTTGCTTTCCCATGGGCTCAATCCTGTCTCCCTCCAGGTCGAAGCAGACGGTGGTGCCGTTCCGGGACAGCAAGCTGACCCGTGTGTTCCAAGGCTTCTTCACCGGGCGTGGGCGCTCCTGCATGATCGTCAACATCAACCAGTGTGCATCCACCTATGATGAGACTCTCTATGTAGCCAAGTTCTCAGCCATTGCCAGTCAGGTTAGTAGTAGCACACACCGGGATCCTGCCTCTGTGGGAATGGGCCCATTTCCATCACAAGGGGGGTGGTGCTTGCAAGTCTTCCCTGTGTTTCTCCAGTGGGTTATTACCTCTAGAGTATTTCCAGATTCTGCTTAACTGAAAGGGCTGACAGGTTGCAGAGAAGGGCTGTGCTTCAAGGCTGCACAACTCCCTGGCTTGGTGGACTAGGAATGATTGTCTTTTCCCCTTCAGCTTGTTCAGGCACCTCCCACAAAGCTTGGACTTCCATCCCTACAATCCATCATCACAGAGCACAGAAGGCGAACCAGTGAAGGTCCAGAGGCAAAAGCGAAGGAAGAAGTGGAATCAGAAGACAGTGAGGATGAGGCAGATGTGTCCATGTATGAGAAGGAGGTGGGTTGTGATTTGGTTTACAACTTCTACAGATAGAGGGGCAACAACATGGATGTTAACTTTGGCCTGGGAGGTGGGATTGGAGCTCAGCACTGTGACATGAGAGATGACAAAGAACCTCAGAAGGATATAGGACCCAGGAAATTGGGAATCCATGCCAAAAACATTCCACACTTGGTCTAAGTCTGATGCACACGCTTAATTTGGAAACACTTTGTCATCTGTTGAACAGTAAGAGCGTGGGTGCAAACCTATAATCCCTTCTCTGCAGGGGAAATTTAGAGATCAGAAAACACACAAAACAGGTGGAAAAATCGAGGAAAAATAATCAGACTTCCTAGCTACTCAGAGGGGACAGCTGAAAGATCAAGATGGAAATCATATACCTATGAGACTTGACTAAGGTGTCAAGGCAACAAATCCTGGCAGCTTCCCTTTACAAGCAACTACAGCAATCTTAACCCTAGATCAGCCCAGTCTGCAGACATGGGATCACTCAGTGTAGCCCAGGTTTGAGCTGTGTTGAGCAGTGTTGAGCATTGTCCTCCTTGCAGGACTTGTTGCGCATAGTGGAAGCTGCGCGAGAGCTGCTGGTGCGGGAGCGGCGGGAGAAGCTGCAGCTGGAGATGCGTCTGCGTGACGAGATCTGCAACGAGATGCTGGAACACATACAGCAGAAGGAGCAGTGGTGCAGGTACAGCCTGGGCTGATGTCCCTCCCTCTGCTCAGGGTGAGCTGCAGCACCAAGAACTGCCAGACCCTGAGGTGGAGTTGTTTGTTTTCTTTGTAGCCAACACGTGGATGCTCAGAGGGAACAGCTGGAGGAACTGTATGAGGATAAACTGAGTAACCTGAAGGAGTCATTGACTGACTATTACCAGGAGAAGATCCAGGTTTGTTCAGGGCATGAAATGATATCTGGAAAGTGGCAGTGGGTTGGGAGGGGGATTTGGGGTACATGAGTCCTGGAAGATGTTTATGCAAACTAAAGGATTTTTTTATGATATTTTTTACGATAGTGTTTGATCACTTGATCCACAATTTCTGAGTCTTGTCTCCTGCTTCATGTAGCTCACTAGGCTTCCTAGTTTTCAACCCTTAATCTGGGAGCTAACGTGCAACTGAACTCCTGTTGTTCAACACTATTCTCTCCCCCTCTTACCCTTTCACTGGTGGCTTTGCATTCCTCAAGGTCACACAGGTTGTGTGAATTTCTCTTCTTACTCTTTGTTGCAATGATGGCTATGGGCCTGGCTATACTGTGGCAGTTGAGTTGCCTCTGGGACTTGTCACAGACCCCCCTGAAGATGCCAACTCTCTAAAACAAAGAGGCTGCAAAAATGTGGTTTAGGCTCCCAGGAAATGGGTTTACTGTTTTCAATTAAAGGACCTTAAAGGCTGGGTCCAATGTGTGAAGTGTGGGATTGAGAAAGTCTCCAAGAGAACCAAGACATGAAAATTTCAGATAAGTCAGCTGTGGTGAGAAAATCTTGTTGAATATCTGAACCAACTTCTTTTCTAAGGAGCGTGATGAGGAGATTTTGGAGCTCCAAACTGCTCTGCAGGAGACCAAACAAAAACTGGAGAGCCTGGAAAGTCAGCAAAGGGAGTCACAGCAAGGACTACATCGATCCAAGCGAATGGCTACCTTGAGTGCTCTGCAGCAGGAGCTGGCAGACACCAAAGCCAGGCTGGAGCAGTGCCAGATGGAGTTAAATACTGCGACTGCAGGTATGGCAGTTGTGAACTGTGCCTGAGAAATCCTTGTAGAGAGTTAGAGACTTTCTTCAGCAGGGTACATAGGATTCAGACACCCTGAAACCACTATTGAGGTGTAGGGTATAGGAATAATGTGCTGGATGGGGCAGTGTTTCACTTCATTTGTACCTGAAAATGGACTTTAGGGCAGGATAATCTCCCTGTTCAAATTCTTAAGTCCCTTTGTGTAGCTGAAAGGGAGAAGAGGCCTGGAGTGTTAGTGCATGTCTGCACAAACTCAAAGCTGTTCCCAGCTTGTCTGTGGCAGCTTGTCTCCAGGGAAGTCCTGAACTTCAGGAATACTGAAAGCTGCTGAAAGTCCTTTGCTCATTCCTTTTTCTCTGTTCTAGAGTTGCGTAAGTATCGGAAATTGGTGGAGCCACCTCCCTCTGCCAAACCCATCACCATGGACGTGGACAGGAAGCTGGAGGATGGACAGAAGGTAACTCACCTGTGTTCCACAAAGAACACTTGCAGGGCAAGGGGGTTTTCCAGTTCAAACAGTGTTTGGGGCTGCTGTTCACAGACAAATGGTTGAGCTTGAAACGGGTTTGTTGATGGAGGTGAAGTTGTATCTGTAATCCCAATCTCAGATGGGATCCACATGTCTGAAATACCTTGGAGTGGCTTTGTTTGCAGAGCAGTGCCAAAGCAGCTGTTGTATGACATTTTTTTTCCCCTGCAGAATGTCAGGTTGCTGCGTTCAGAGTTACAGAGGATTGGAGAGTCCCTGCAGGCTGCGGAACGCGCCTGCTGCCACAGCACAGATGCAGGGAAGCTCCGGGAAGCTCTCTGCACCTGTGATGACATTCTGGCCAGACAGGTAATGTGTCTGTTTTGTTGTGGGTTGTACTTTGCCATAAGTACAGTAACCCAAGTTCTTGCTGCTGCTAATAACTTACTTGCTAGACCCATACTGTCTGTTGCACAAAGGGAGATGTACTGCTGATTTTTACAACGGCTGGGGCAGATTGCACAGTTAACTCTTCCTTGAAGACTCAAGTTGTTCCTGTTAACTGGCACTTAAAGTAGGAGAATTGAGAGTTCTCATTTCCTTAACCACTCCATCGCAGTTGCTATGGCAGCATGTTTGCAGCAGGATGGAGCCAGCTTTGTCCCAGCCTTACCATTCCTATTTTGTTGTTGAACTGCTACACTGTTGACAGTAGAAGCTTTTAAGCATGGCTTTATTTAGCACAAGTTAGTGAATTTTGGTAAAAGGCAGTTTATCCTCAGTTTATACCCAGGGAGTTAAACAACTTGTCATAGTACCTGAAGGAGCCTACAAGAAAGATGGAGAAGGACTTTGGACAAGGGCCTGGAATGACAGGACAAGGGGGAATGGATTTCAACTGATAGAGTAGGTTTAGACTAGATATTAGAAAGAAATTCTTCCCTGTGAGGGTGGTGAGACACTGGCACAGGTTGTCCAGAGAAGACATGGATGCCTGGAAGCATTCAAGGCCAGGCTGGATGGGGCTTGGAGCAACCTGGTCCTAGTGGAATGTGTCCCTGCCCATCACAGGGAGTGAAACTAGATGATTTTTTTTAAGGTCCCTTCCAACCCAAACTATTCTATGTTTCTATGACACTTTTCTAGATCTTTTAATATACATATTTTCCTTTCTTTCATCAGGACCAAACCCTGGCAGAGCTGCACAACAAGATGATGCTGGTGAAGCTGGACCTGAGGAAGAAGGCAGCCTGTATCGCCGAGCAGTACCACACAGTGCAGAAGCTCCAGGCCCCAACATCCACCCTAAAGAAACGGTTCTGTGCCAACAGGGAAAACCTACAGCCTAATCAGCCTCCTGGCAAAAAGCCCTTCCTGCACAACCTCTTGACCCGCTCAGCCTCTCGTCCTGTGGCTGCCAGAGGGTGGCAACTGCGCTCAGTTGCTCTGTGACTTTGCCAAGAGAGATCCTGCCCTGCTGTCACTGGCACAGGTGGCAGATCCAACATAATAGCATCTGGGTTTCATTGTGCGCTTGTTTATTGTTGTTGTAGCTGCTTGAGAGCTTCTGTAAACATTTTGGGGTATGTATGGATAAACTTTTAATCAATACCAAAGTGGACAAAATTACCTTTGGTCATTTAAACACTACACCGAGAAAAGTCCATTTAAAATAATGCAGATCAAAGTTGTTTACCTAAAGGACAAGTTCAAGGTGAGTTCTCATCTTCAACTGTGTTGGCACATAACTCAAAAATAAGTTCACAAGATCCTCTCTGAAGGATATTTTTCCCTTCCTTGAATTATAATCCTTTATTAAAGTAAACACGTTCTAGGTCAGGGCTGTTCTCTCGGATCTTGGCTTGCAACTCTGGCTCCAAGCGTGTTACTGACATGGAACTGAGCAAAAGAAAAGGACATGGTTATAAAGAACAAACACCTGAATGTAAAGTAAGATGGAGAAAGCATCTGGCCAAACTTCTGGATTGTGAAGTTTCCAGATCTTTAACTTCTGAAGGAAGCACACTCAGACCAGGGGCAAATGAATCCCTGCTCAAAGGGCAGCAAGAGTAGAGTCAGGAAAGGGCTCTTGCTACTGCCATGAGAGTAGGGATCTACTTATTTGTCCAAGGTTGTTGCTGGCAATAGAAACTTCCCTTCCTAAAGGTGTTTTTATTAAACATAATGTTTATTAAACATTTATTTAACTTACTGTTTTGTTCAGGTGAATAAAAGGGTTGTTTTATGGAGACAGTTCACAGGGAAGTGAATTAAGCTGCCAGGTCCTTTGAAGTCCCTGAACACAGGTCAAGGTCTCACAGTCCTCTGAACTGGAGAGCCCTGGTTAAACTCAAGAACTGTACCATGTGTGCTAGGCTGGTTTGTCAAGTCATCTCCAGGTAGCCTAGAGACACTTGTGTACCACAGTTCTCTGTCCTAGGCCAAGCAGGGAAACAGATGGTGTCAGACAGCTTTGTTGTACTCAACAATTGCAACTGATGAGAACCGAATGTTGTTTCTGGAAGCCAAAAGCCATCTTAGTTCTTCAATATTTTAATGGATTCAGCTCCAGCTTGGATTGCTTAAGCTGCTACGTCTGGCAACTTGTTGAGTTTAGACAACCACTACTAATAAATTTCAGGCCCTGTCCATACTGAAAATTGAGCTAAGTTTGTAAATAAGCCATTCAGCTTTCACCATGATTATAATCAATACTGTTTCTAAGACAGCTTTCAGTACTGAGCTACTTCTGTACTGGTGGAAAAAGTCTTTCTGGAAAAGCACTAATCAAATTACAAACAAGCACAGACAATCAAATGCTGTTCTGTATCACCAGAAAAGTTTCCAGCTCAAACTAAACTGGACTCTGACTGTACTTAATGCATCCATAACCTTACTGGACATGAATGTATTGTATATACCACAATGTGTGTAAACAGCTATTATATATTACTGATGAGTAACATAGTTATTACTTCTCTGTATATTCACTTTTCTGTATATTCTCTTGTTTATCACATTTGTTTGTGGGATTTCAGCCTGTGCTCTAGCAGGCCCTGACCCCTTTGTTTCTGTTTGTCTGCTGTACCTTGCATGGATCTGAGTGTATCATTAAAGTGAGACTAATAAACAGCAGTTTTTAATTAACTTACCTTTTCTGAGGAAACAGTGCACAGCACAGAGGAGTTGCAAACACGAGGCTAGAGGAGACAAAAATGGGTTTGTTAATATTTAGGGTGTTAAAAGAGAATTCAAAAAACCTTGTGCATGACTTAGGCAAAAAGCTTTTTTCTGTACACAGTGAGGTAAAGTTCCACAAGTGCTCTGTAAGCTTTATTTCTGCTTGTATTGTACCTTAGGAAATAATTTATCTACTCCTAGAACTAAATGTAGCAATGCTTTGCTTACAACTGTGTATAAACCGTCATTTGATGTCCTTCCAGGGCTTTGGACTAGTGTGCAGGACAGGACAAACACCAGACATAGCAAATGAAAATGTTAACCAAATGTTTCAATAATTCATCAACCTATGGGATTAGATTCCACTGTCTTTTATGGAATTAGCAGCCAAAGCATCTTTTCTAATCAAGCTCCTACATGCCCTTTTTTTGCCATTCCCTTTCTCCCTCTATTATTTTTTGGCAGCTTCTTCCTTGCTAAGGGCTTTTTTTTTTTTAACCATGGTATTAGCAGTTACTTCACTTCCATCTCTGTAACTGCTGTAGCCTCATTAACTCTCAACCTCATCCGTTGAAACAAAGTTCAAATATTGCTACTTTCTCAAAAAACCCTACAATTATCTCTGAAAATAACAGACCCAACCCAAAGAAATCACTTACCAGATTCCAACTAGTCCAACTTGAATGGGAGCACTCATCCAAGGAAATCTCTGTTGAAAATAAACCACACAATGAGTATGGTGTACCTTTTTTCCCCCCTTCCCACCTTCCTGGAACTCTTGTTTTGTAAGACACACAGTGCACCTAAAAGACACTTGGACATGAAGGCAAAACAATGACCAGTGTACCTGAAAGCTGACAGAGCCTAATCTCTTTGAAGAGCAGTAAAATTCCCAGTGGAATCAGTGTACACTGTGATCCTGTGTCCCTTAGGAACTTCTGGGCCTTTTTTTTGAGACACACAAGCTCACAGCAGCAGGTGCTGCCAAACCTCTGAAGGGCACAGTAAATCTTGCCTGGGCAGCCCAAGGGAGAGTTCAGTCTGGTTACAGCTCCTCTTTGGTGACATCAAATGGTTTTAATGGGCAACTGGAGATTTACTTTGTGAGCAATCGAAGCCACGAGCCATAAATAAGGGAGAGACCTTTTTTTCCTCTCTTGTGAGTTCCCTTGATGTGTAGGAACTTGTCCCTGTAGCAACACTCCAGTTCTGCAAGGGTTCACCTTTTACTGAAGGCAAAAAGGTATGAAGGATTGGAGAAACAAATCTGAGAAAGCAACACACAACTTCTGGATGCATTTTTAGCATATTCCTCATTAATGCAACTTGAATATATGCCAAGAACTAGAGTTTTCCTGCAGATCTTTAAATGATTTAGGAATCCACTCCCCCATGTAAGAAGTTTAGTCGAAATTCATCACTAATGAAGCAAACCCAGAGCTGTTCACTGGACATTGCTGCCTAAGAGCAGTGTCTCCAGAATGAGGACAGACACAGCTGCCAGGATAGTACAAAGGGGATTTTAAAACAAAACAGCTCCCGAGTTAGAAATCACATGATGCAGTGGATGATGTTTTCAATGAAGATGATGTTTGTTTCTGCAAGAAGTAGAAGTTAGAGGGGGAACTGAAGAACAAAAACTGGGCACTACTGGAGAGCAGAAATGGACAAAGGAAATAAGGAAAGCCCAGTAGGACACAGCAGGGAAAACAAGCCTGTGTGGAATAAACTTTCTCCAGAGCCTGAGGGAGAAGAAATGATGCAGAAGATTGCTTCTCTTTTCCTTTTATTTTTCTTGGAGTGAATCTGTAATCCAGAAATGAGTGTGGGAAGAGCTGTGCAATTCAGCAACAACCTGCAACAACAGATAACAAAAGGGGGACAGACAGCAACAACAAGGAGGATAGAGTAAAGGCAGCAGCACTTTGCTGTTCTGGCATTCCCTAAACACCTTCATTTCACTCTCAGCTGAGAGAAATTCATCCTAAATGCTTTACCTTTTATACACTGGGAGAGTCCATGGCAAGAGATGATGTGAGTGGCATTACTACTCAAACTCAAACTACTCAAATGACTTCAGACTGAGGAAGAAGAAGGGAGAGGGATGCTATGCACTGCACTGAGAGTGTGGGACCCAAAACACATAACAGAAAAGTCCCAACTGTAATTTTATAACCGAAAAAGGTGCTGGAAGGTGCCATGAGAGGAACAGATGGTTTCATGCCTTTGTCAGAGTTGGTTATTGATCTGAGAGAGGTGTCTAGTTCAGACTCTATAACCAACATCAAGTTCATGTGCTGGAACATTTTTTGTCACCTTCATCTGAGTTACAGCCTTTACTTTTCAAGCATGTTACCAGGTGCACTAACGGAGAAAGATGGTGAGGAAAAACTCTTAACACTGGGGAAGTCAAAATTAAGAACTGGAGTTGCCCAGGGAACAACACAAAATAATAGAGCAAAACTCAATGCAGGGTGTGCACCCCTACAGAAAGATACAATGGAGAAGTACAAGAAAGCAGAAAAATTCACAGTGCTAAATAACTCTCACTCTGGAAGAAGGCAATTCCCAATGAATTAGGATCTAATTTCCAGATGTCTTTAGGACATTTTAGTGGTTAGTGCAAACAGAGAGAATGGAGAAATGGTAATTAAGCAAAGAAAAGCCATGAGGAGAATCAGCATTTTTCTAACTGCTTCTTTTCATTGTTGGATGTAAAAATGTGCCAGCTGTCCCAGGCCAGCCATGCCTGGCTCCAAAAAACTAACTAAATGAAATGGCAGTTAAGCTAGGAATGCATGGAGGACTCCAGGGCATAAGACATTCAAGAATGATGCTGAAAAAAAAGGCTCTGTCCTGGTTTTGTAACAGTTTTGAACACAGATTTTAGCTGCAGACTCAGAGACCCCAAAGAGCTTGTTTGATGAGGAAATTTCTGGAATCAACTTGGATGTTAATACCAATGCAGAACAGGAAACTGTAGCTAAAGCTGTAAAAGTAATAATATCAATTAAAACTTCAGTGTCAATTGGGATTTTTGTGAGTTTCTATGGAAAAAAAACCCAATTTCTTTCCTTAGTAACAAAGTTACCTGTAAATAAAACCTATAAATGCTGTTCCTCAGAGGTTGTTTATGGATCCTCCTGCTGCAGCAGGTAAAGCAAGTTGGTTCTGCACAGAGCTAGCCCAGTGTATGTCAGCAGTGAAAATGAAAACAGACATTATGCAGCTTAATCAAGAACTACTACACTGCACAGTCACATCAAAGGGCC